ATTCCACAGCCCACACGAAATATCAGTGCTGGTCCCTGAGCACACCAAGAGGAATGAATGGAGCTGCACTTCCCAAACCCAGAGCACAGCAGAGGGGCAGGATCCCCTCCCTGAGCTGCTGCTCACACTCTGGGGGTGCAGCCCAGCACACGGGGGGGTTCTGAGCTCAAGCGCTCACTGAAGCCGGGTCATGGGGAGCTACTCCTCACCCAACACCCCAAGTCCTTCTCCTCAGGCTGCTCCATCCCATCTCCCCCAGCCTGGGTTTGTGCTGGGACTGCCCTGACCCAGGGGCAGGACCTTGCCCTTGGCCCAGTTGAGCTCCATGAGGCTCACACGGTCCCACCTTTCTTTCTAACTGTTTCCTCTCTGCTGAGGTTTCCTCCATTCCTGGTGTATTTGCAGGTGCTGGTTCACAGCCTCCCAGAAGCACACGTTTGGCTGCTTTCATGTGTAAGAAAAGTCACTTCAGGATGGAAATAACTTCTTTTTCTGTGAACACTCCTCAATACATATCCAGTTTTATCTGAGGAGCTTAATTAAGGAGCTCATAAGGCTGCTTGGAGACCTCATAGCAGCCTTCCAGTATCTAAAGGGGGCCTATAGGGATGCTGGAGATGGACTCTTCATTAGGGACTGTAGTGACGGGACAAGGGGTAATGGGTTAAAACTGAAACAGGGGAAGCTCAGGTTGGATATAAGGAAGAAGTTCTTTACTGTGAGGGTGCTGAGGCACTGGAATGGGTTGCCCAAGGAGGTTGTGAATGCTCCATCCCTGGCAGTGTTCAAGGCCAGGCTGGACAGAGCCTTGGGTGCCATGGTTTAGTGTGAGGTGTCCCTGCCCATGGCAGGGGGTTGGAACTGGATGATCTTAAGGTCCTTTCCAACCCAAACCATTCTAGGATTCTATGATTCTAAATACTCAACTTTAACAAAAGCCTCAACATTTTATCAGTCTCTGTTGCTGGATTAAAGTATTATAAATCACATAACCAAATTCGTGGCCTGCCATTGTACTAGGTCTCTTTTACCTTTAAAAATAGAAGTTGGATTTGAGCCTAATATATATTCTTTACATTTTGGTTAAATTGACATCTCCACATTTCCCCCAAGGGGAAGCCTCAATACAATTAAACTGCAATTCAAAACCTGCTTTGTTTCTGTCAAAGCTGAACCGAGATACCTCAAACACAAGTGGTCATATCCCAGACCACAACCTTTTGACATGGGCTCTCCAAAAGCAGCCTCAGAAAATCAGCCCACAAGTGATTCTGCATCACTTTAGTACATTATATTATGAGCAAACAGCTTCTAATCCCAGATCCGAGGTGATGCACTACCTCCAGCCCCTGCTCCGCTGGCTCCTAACCTTCTCCCCCCAAAGGAGCATCTGTATTCTGGATATTCCCTGGGAGATTCATTAACTGCTCCTTCCTTAAAGGCTGAAATCATTGGCATTTTCCTCAGGCTACATGTCTCAAGCATTTAAAAGACCTGTCAGGACACAGAAATGAATAAATACAGAAACCATCACTTCATCATTCTCTCTGCCAAGCCATTGCGGGTAAAGGGAAAACCTAACTTTTGCCTAATGTCCTTAAAGACCATTCTCTATCTTGCATTCCTGTATATCATTTCCATTGCATTTCACACTCCCTTTTCATGTCAGTGCCCTCAGAGGGAAAAGGTGAATTAGAATATTGGCATCTCTAGCTTAGGAGGCAATTAGACCCATACCAACAAAGCAGAGCTGAACGTATGCTCAAAATAACCTAGTTAGGATCCTATTTTAATTAAAAATCACTCACATAATCCTATTATCCCAAGGCATGGATCCAATCCAGCGCATCACTTCTTAAATCTTTTAGCCCCACACCCAGAAAGTGATTAAAAACCCACTGTAAAGAACCAGAATGGTCCTTGCTGTGTCTCAGGTTCCTCTCCCAGGTGGAAAGCGCAGGAGGATAGAGAAATGCATGTTCTGATGTCAGTCAGGCACGTGCTAAACAGCTTAAACAAAGAAATTCAAAGCAAAACAGTAAAAGAAACATATCTCAAGCCTATAAATGGCTTTCTCACTACCTGCAAACACTGCCTCAAAGGCACCTCTTATTTCCCTGTATTTCCACGCCTCACCTCCTCTGTCAGCAAGAGCCTCTTCCACAGCTGCACAAATGACATGATTTTGGGGTAAAAGAAAGGGGAAAAGAAATATTTCAGATTCACCTTTCATTTCTGGATTTGCTCTCACATGCCCTGTGGGGCCCTGCTGCATAACAAGCATTGTATCCATACGAGACAGCAGCAGGACAAGCCAGCACTGCTGCTAGAGCTATCTACCTCTGTGAATGGGGGTCCAAAAGGAGACGGCAGGAGGAGAGCAGAGATAGAGTATGTACCACCACAGAGTGTGAACGTATAGACGTATGCACACAATACACATACATCTATACATGTGCATATGTAACTTGCACCACCCAAGTAACTCCCTTGGTTTGTTTACCCCCAGACAGTGATTATGCATCACATGAGCAATTATAAAACCATGTAATTATCCTCAAGTGATAGGAAGCACTAAAAAAAAGGGGCTGTGAAAAGCACAATAGAGAGCTCTGAGTTAATGGAATTTGGTATTACACACTGCCCAGTTACTTCAAACCAGTTACCCCCTACTCCACTATGGGGAGAACCCCCTGCAGCCCTGATCCAGCTCTGGGGCAGCAGCACAAGAGGGACGTGGAGCTGTTGGAGCGAGGCCAGTGGAGGCCATGGAGCTGCTGCGAGGGCTGGAGCAGCTCTGCTCTGGAGCCAGGCTGAGAGAGCTGGGCTGGGGCAGCCTGGAGAAGAGAAGGCTCCTGAAGGGGAGACCTTAGAGCAGCTCCAGTGCCTAAAGGGGCTGCAGGAAAGCTGGAGAGGGGCTTGGGACAAGGGCCTGTAGGGACAGGCCAAGGGGAATGGCTTGAACCTGCCCGAGGGGAGACTGAGCTGAGCTCTTAGGCAGAAGCTCTTCCCTGTGAGGGTGCTGAGGCGCTGGCACAGGGTGCCCAGAGAAGCTGTGGCTGCCCCATCCCTGGCAGTGTTCAAGGCCAGGTTGGACACAGGGGCTTGGAGCAAGCTGCTCCAGTGGAAGGGGTCCCTGCCCGTGGCAGGGGTTGGAACTGGATGAGCTTTAAGGTCCCTTCCAATTCAAACCACTCTGAGATCCTTTGATTCTATGAATCAACCCTTGTTTTTGATTTGTCCATGGTGCTCATTGAAATAAAAGCAGTCACCTCTAGGAACAATGACTGAAAGACTATTTTTGCTTATAGAGCATGAGTCTGGTTTAGTAGAATATTGAGTCTAGTTAACACACACTAGCATGTGAACTGTTGGCCCCTTCAGGGTTTCAGAGCAAACAAATCAGTTAGGCTTTAATCTAGAAAGCGAGAAGATGGAAGAGATTCATTTAAAGCGCTCACAGACCCCTAAACCAAAGTCTTTAAGGTCCCTTCCAACCCAAACCATTCTGTGATTCAAATGCATGGCAAGAGCACCTCCAAAGCCTGACTCATGTGAGCCTGAAGCTGACAGAGGAGGTGATGCTTTGATTGACCCTTCTCTATACCGCTAGCGCTTGCACTCATCACAACAGCAGCAGTGGCTCTGATGGGAGGGCTCAACACAAGTGCCACAGCTGTCAACTGCAGTCAGATCCTTAAGAGGTGTCCATTTTGGGGTCGGAACCACAATCCATGCAGCGAGACACATGGGCCTGCAGCTTTTGTGGGGCGGAGTGCTTCCGAAAGGCAGCACAGCTGACACAGGCATCACAAACCTAAGCTGGTTGCATGGTTCTCAGAGGGATTTAAACAGCAGGTGAGTGGGGCTGGGCTGTGGGACACGACCCTTCTTTGTTTCAGCTATTTAGATGCAAATTGGTCCCCTTTCCTCCCCCTTTCAACACCATCTGTTAGCCCAGAGGTTCAGACTGTGCCTATGGGGTAGGTTTTGGGGGATGGGGATATAGCTAAAGCATGGAGAGTATCTCAGTTGATGCCTCTGTTTCCTCTGAGGCACGGTTCAGGGTAAGAGAAAATATCCCTTTGCAATACTATTCAATTCCAATAGGATTTTCCTCTCATTCTGCTGCACTTTTCCTGCTCACCCCTTGGATTTCCTACCCTAAAAAGCATCCCTTGCTCAGCTTCTGGCCAACAAGCAGCAATTACATAGAGATGCTTGCAGCAGGTTGCTACGGTGTTAGCATAGGGTATAAGCTGGTGTTGCAGGAAGTATCAGAGATTCAGGGAATTAAAGTCTTAGGTGATAATGATGAAGTCCTTCACTACAAGGTGCAGTATTTAATGTTCTTTTAGTGCTAGGGAAGCCACCTCATCTCCGCCTGACTTTCCCAATGAACAGCATTGTGCTCTCAAGCAGTGTTGAGAGATCTGATTCATTAAACACTTCACCCAAGGCTCTGGATTCCTCCCAAAGGAAGGATTACGGGTGATGACACAGAGGACACAGTACACTTACAGGAAGCTTGGAGATGATGGAGGATTGGGAGGGGTGATGGATGTGCTGCTACCCACAGGGACATGGAAAGGTTGGAGAAATTGGGCAACACCAACCTCATGAGCAAAGGAAAATGCAAAGCTCGTGAGGAATAACCCCAGGGACCAGCATAGAATGGGAGCCAACTGGCACAAAAGAAGCTGTGCAGCCTGGTGGACATCAAGTTGACCATAAGCCTCCAGAGTGCCTTTGCAGCATTTAGGCTGCATTAAGAAAGACACTGCCATTAGGTAAAGGGAGGGGATCCTTCCCCTCTGCTCAGCATGGTGAGGCACATTGGGAGTTCTGGACCAAGTGCTCACCTCCCCAGTACAAGAGAAACATAGATATACTGGTGACAGGCCAGTAAAGGGCCACAAAGATGATTAAGGCACCAGAGCTTCTGATGTACAATGAGAGGCCAAGAGGGCAGGGGGGGTCTTATCAAGGTGCATAAATACCTGATGGAGGTGTAAAGAAGATGAAACCAGGCTCCTCTTGGTGGTATCCAGCAACAGGACAAGAGGCAACAGGCACAAACTGAAATACAGGAAATTCCATTTCAATGCAAGAAGGAAGGAGGGGGAAAAAAAGAAACACAAACCAAAACTAAAAGCTTGTACCCTGATGGAGGAACCAAACCACAGAACATAAAATCACAGAATGGTTTGGGTTGGAAAGGTCCTTAAGATCATCCAGTTCCAACCCCCTGCCATGGGCAGGGACACCTCGCTCTAAACCATGGCACCCAAGGCTCTGTCCAACCTGGCCTTGAACACTGCCAGGGATGGAGCATTCACAACCTCCCTGGGCAACCCATTCCAGTGCCTCAGCACCCTCACAGGAAAGCATTTCCTCCTTATATCCAATCTAAACTTCCCCTGTTTCAGTTTGAACCCATCACCCCTTGTTCTGTCACTACAGTCCCCAATGAAGAGTCCCTCCGCAGCATCCCTATAGTTTCCATCCTTTGGGATGCTCAGAGCCCCACTGGACATGCCCCTCACCAAACTGTTCCAGCTGCCACCACTTTAGGGAGGGGTTGGACTCGATTATCCATGGAGATTCCTGCCAACCTCACCAATCCTGCAATTACAGGGCACAAAAAGTGGCTGGGAGGCTCTAAAGGAGAGAGGCACAACATCATTCCAGCTACTTTTCTGATTCAAGTGTTTCGGTCAACTGCATCCAAGGCCCCACTTCAGTGATGAAACAAATGACAAGAGGTGATAAGTGATAACCTTGAGCAGAAAATGAGATGGAAGAGTTGGGATCAGGGATCCAACAGCCTCGTTTTGAGTTTTAATGTGTGGAGTACAGGCCTGGTACTTGGGAGATGCAAGGAGATGCAAGGAGATGCAAGGAGATGCAAGGAGATGCAAGGAGATGCAAGGAGATGCAAGGAGATGCAAGGAGATGCAAGGAGATGCAAGGAGATGCAAGGAGATGCAAGGAGATGCAAGGAGATGCAAGGAGATGATGCAAGGAGATGATGCAAGGAGATGCAAGGAGATGCAAGGAGATGCAAGGAGATGCAAGGAGATGCAAGGAGATGCAAGGAGATGCAAGGAGATGCAAGGAGATGCAAGGAGATGCAAGGAGATGCTGAAGGAGATCAAGGAGATGCAAGGAGATGCAAGGAGATGCAAGGAGATGCAAGGAGATGCAAGGAGATGCAAGGAGATGCAAGGAGATGCAAGGAGATGCAAGGAGATGCAAGGAGATGCAAGGAGATGCAAGGAGATGCAAGGAGATGCAAGGAGATGCAAGGAGATGCAAGGAGATGCAAGGAGATGCAAGGAGATGCAAGGAGATGCAAGGAGATGCAAGCTTTCCTCCCAGTCCTCACGCAGACCTCTTGCAATGTTGGTGGCACATGAGCAGGGAGAGAAGTGTGAGTAGTGTTTGCTCTGCCCTCCTCCAATCAATCACCTCTCTAAAGGAAAGGCAATTCAGGTAGTTAAAGAGCACACACAGCATGAATAAAACCCTTCCCAGGTGATTCCGCAGCTTCAGTTACCACAGGAAACACATTCTCAGTTAAAAAACAAAGGGGAAAAGAGAACTACATACGCAATCCTGATGGGAAACTCAAAAGCAGAGGGTAAAGGGGACATAGAGGGATGCAGAAACTCTTCCTTCCCCTTGGAGCACAGATGATGGGATAGAAGTGCCCTACCCAGCTTGGACTATGAATAGGCAGAGACCCCCTAAGGGGATGCAGAGAAGGAAGAAAATAGAGTGTGGGCTTCAAAGCCTCAAATGCAGACAAGTGAGTCCTTAGGCTGCCCTTGCACAGCATCCAAGGCTGACATCAAGTTGGGTTCAGGCAGACTTCAATGACGATGCTCCATGAGGTGAAGGGAAGGAGCTTTTACTTAGCTCTTACTCTGCTTACATCCCTGCCCGGGTTTGCACCCCAATGTCTTATAAAGGCTTTGGAGCCCTCTTCTTTACTGTTGGGATATTGGGTTGGGGGTTGAGTGTTTCCTCTTTCTTGCAGGCAGAAAAGGCCAGAACAACGAATGATGGGTGACAGTCAGGAACTTCAGGTACCTGGTTCCAAACTATTGACTTCTAAAATACACGTAATTGAGCATCTCTGATTGGAAAGCAATATTCTGATCAAAGTTGCAGCATTCTATAGAAACATTTCCCTACAAAAGATAGATAGCTAAGGGGTACTTGGTCTTCATGCCAGCAAGCCACTCACTGAAAACACTGGGAGTTTGGCCTGAATTAGGTTTCTAGGATCCATCCCATAATGGGCTGTAACACTTCCCCCACAGAACTACCTGACAGCTCCTGGAAACTGGCTAAATGTGAAGGGCACATTGACAGCATCTGAGGTGAGGCTTCCAAGGTGCACTGTGTAACAACTGAATTCAACCAACACGTGATAGCGCTGTGCACGCATCCTCCCCATCCCACATCAACAGGGTTAGAGCAGGCTGGTGACAGAAGAACAGTGCCTAAAAACACACCTCCAAAAGAAAAACCACACTTGTAAAAGCAAAGAGCCCACAAAGCAGCTGCACACCCGGGACATCACATCACATCATGCGTGCAATAACCCTCCCACTTTGGTTCCCTGCTGCTAATAGTGATGGAGCATTCACAACCTCCCTGGGCAACCCATTCCAGTGCCTCAGCACCCTCACAGTAGAGAACTTCTTCCTTAGATCCAATCTAAACTTCCTCTGTTTCAGTTTGAACCCATCACCCCTTGACCTATCACTACAGTCCCTAATGAAGAGTCCCTGCCCAGCATCCCTATAGGCCCCCTTCAGATACTGGGAGCTGCTATGAGGTCTCCATGCAGCTTCTCTTCTCCAGGCTCAACAGCCCCAACTTTCTCAGCCTGTCTCCATACAGGAGGTGCTCCAGCCCCTGAGCATCCTCGTGGCCTCCTCTGGACTTGTTCCAACAGCTCCATGTCCTTTTTATGTTGAGTACACCAGAACTGCACACAATGCTCCAGGTGAGGTCTCACGAGAGCAGAGCAGAGGGGCAGGATCACCTCCTTCGACCTGCTGGTCACGCTCCTTTTGATGCAGCCCAGGATACGGTTGCTTTCTGGGCTGCAAGCACACACTGAAGCCGGATCATGTTCAGTTTCTCATCTACCAGCACCCCCAAGTCCTTTTCTAGAGCCTCTTCCCAGCACCAGATTGTCATCATCTCCCACAAACACCTCCAGATCATCCATACAATAACTGCTGCCGCCCGCAGTGTGACCTGGGACAAGGTGGATGGGTTTGCAGCCAGGAAGCATCGAGGTCTGAGAGCCAACTGCTGCCCGCACAATGCCTTTGTGCCCAGATCTAACATCAGGGATGCTCAGGAAGCTGGTGTGCTGCTGGTTGATGGTCTTTCCCATTCTGTTCCACATTCTCTCTGCCTCCATCCCTGGCAGTGTTCAAGGCCAGCTTGGACAGGGCTTGGAGTAAGCTGCTCTAGTGGAAGGTGTCCCTGCCCATGGCAGGGGTTGGAACTGGGAGAGCTTGAAGGTCCCTTCCAACACAAACCAATTTATGGTTCTATGGTTCTATGATTCTTATCTGGTCAATATTTGCTTAGTTAAGTATATGCCAGAGTTGAACATTTCCCCTGAGGGAACATGGCTACAAGCCCTATTCAACCCAATCTGACCTTCGTCCTGTAGGGAGCCAAGCAACATCCAGTTTATGTATTCCATGAACCAAGGGCTTCACACAGTATCCCTGCTCTGAACAGGAAGCCTGGATCATGTCCAACTGGTCACCAGTTTATTGATGACAGCATAGAGTTTGCAGGACCTAAATCTTCAATGGATCCTTTATTTGGATCCCTGGAGGCAGCAGGGCTTGTACACAAAAGGATCAATACCTATGGTGCAAGTCAAATCCTATCCCTGTAAATCACAGAATCATAGGATGGGTTGTGTTGGAGAGGACCTTAAAGCTCATCCAGCTCCAACCCCTGCCACAGGCAGGGACCCCTTCCACTGGAGCAGCTTGCTCCAAGCCCCTGTGTCCAACCTGGCCTTGAACACTGCCAGGGATGGGGCAGCCACAGCTTCTCTGGGCACCCTGTGCCAGCGCCTCAGCACCCTCACAGGGAAGAGCTTCTGCCTAAGAGCTCAGCTCAGTCTCCCCTTGGGCAGGTTCAAGCCATTCCCCTTGGCCTGTCCCTACAGGCCCTTGTCCCAAGCCCCTCTCCAGCTTTCCTGCAGCCCCTTTAGGCACTGGAGCTGCTCTAAGGTCTCCCCGTCAGGAGCCTTCTCTTCTCCAGGCTGAAGTTGATCTGCTCCTGCTGGGAGCAGGGCTTTGTCCTCCAGACAGACAGACAGCAGTACCTCTGCTAACACAGGAATTGTCCTACAGTTATCACACAGGATTTACAGTCAACAAAACAAAAGGGACTTTTAACTTCAAAAGCATTTCTGAAGGCAAAAGCAGCAGAGAAAGCTTTTCAAATGATGACTGGGAAAGGACAAAGGGGGAAGATTGTGCGTTTATATTGGTCACTGACAACCGTGCCTGAGGCTGACCATGGGAGACCAGGGTTAGAATCACAGAATGGTTTGGGTTGGAAAGGACCTTAAGAGCATCCAGTTCCATCCAGCTGCCATGGGCAGGGACACCTCACACTAAACCATGGCACCCAAGGCTCTGTCCAACCTGGCCTTGAACACTCCCAGGGATGGAGCATTCACAGCTTCCCTGGGCAACCCATTCCAGTGCCTCAGCACCCCAACAGGAAAGAATTCCTTCCTTATATCCAATGTAAAAGGCATTCACAGGCCATACCAAATCAGTTTTATCTTCACTGGGGGAGTTCAGTTGATAACCTCTCAGAAGAGCCCCAAGTAAGAAGGTAAGTTGGGAAAACAGACCCAGACACCCAACTGGCTCCACGGACCGGACCAAAGTTTGGTGCTCTGAAGCTTCTTCTTTTCCCTTCCACTTCCAGAGTTAATTTGGGGATGGCACCAGTTCTTCTCTCCCAAATGGAAACCCTCTGAGAGCAAACCAGATATGACAGCTTCCTAGCAACTC